AGGATTTCACTTTCAAGGATCACAACAGTGCCACTATCACAACTGCAAAGAAAATGATTGGATGGATAATGAGAGCATTCCAAACAAGAGATGCCAGGCCAATGATGATCCTTTTCAAATCACTTGTTCTCTCTAGGCTGGAATATTGCTGCACATTAACATCTCCTTTCAAAGCAGGTGAAATTGCAGATCTAGAGAGTGTACAGAGAACCTTTACTGCACATATAAGTTATATCAAACACCTCAACTACTGAGAACGCTTGGAAGCACTTGACTTGTTCTTGTTGGAATGCAGGCAGGAGAGAGATATCATAATCTACACTTTGAAAATCCTAGAAGGGATGGTCCGAATCTGCACACAGAAATCACTCCCTACTTAAGTAAAAGACTTATCAGGCAATGCAAAATACCCCCAATGAAAAGTAGGGGCACCATTGGTACACTAAGAGAAAACACCAGCCTCCCACCAGGCATAAGGGGAATTACCAATAGGCCCCTGGCTCCCTTCAAGAAGGACCTGGACATTTACTTAGTCGGTGCCGGATCAGCCAGGCTGTAGCTCATACGTTTGACTACATGCAGCCAGCAGTAACAGCCTGGTTGATCAAGCCCTGATCCACCAGAGGGCCTGGTCATAGACCGGGCCGCAGGGGCATTGATCCCCGGAATACCCTCCAGGTAGGCAGGTAGACCTCCCCACAAAAAAGGAGTGGGGATATTTGCTGTCTGGAGGAACATGTGAACTGTCATTTCTGTGCACCTCTGGCAAGGCAGTGATAGTGTGAATGATGGTAAAGTGTTTCTTTTTTGGGTCACCCTAACTTGGTGGGAGACAGCCAGTATTAAAAGAAAAGTGCACAGTTCTAATCATGAATGAAGAAACTAACAGAACATACAAATTAAATAATACAAGACAGATCTGGGGTTCTCGTTAGCAGAAATCTGAAGTCAAGAAAACACTTCAACCAACTTTTGCCTTGTCAGGTATTTAGTATATAAAAAAAAAAAAAAGAAAAAAAAAATGGAGCCTTCAAGTGGTTATTCTGTATAAGTGCAATATAAAACTGTGTGAATGAAGTACAACACAGAGTAATGTTATTAAAATTATCAGCATTATATTCATGGGGAAGCACTAACCACACAGAGGTCATACAACACCTGGGAAATGGGAGGTAATCTATTTGATAAAGAATGTGGAGAGCTCCAATGCCTTGGATCAGAAGCCCTTCACTGACATCAAGGAACTCCCTCCTAAAGAATAAAATGGCACAGTAGCCAAGAACTTTTAACAAATACTGTAAATTGTAATTAACCAACTCAGCTCTTTAGAATATTTATTGATTCCTAAAAAACACTAAATTCATTTGATTTACAAAGAACTAAAATTCCAATTAATAACCAACTGTTTATTATTATTATTATTAGTATTACTATTATCAAACTGAACACTAAACATATAGCAAACTGCTTAGCTCTTCACATGGACTGTGTGCTTGGGAGACAGTCATCTAAGCCATCTAAGAGCCCCTCTTCCCCAGTGGACAGAGGTCTGGTGTAACTAAACTCTAATACCTGCTGGAAGTATTCAGGTGTTAAGTTAAAGATATCAGTGTTCTCAAGATGTTAGAAAAATGAACCAACTTTAGAAGGGTAAGGAGCAGGGTGAGGAGTTGGAGAAACTCTAAGTAAAACAAAAGTGTTACATTAGTCAATACCTTTCTGTAATACCTAATCTCACCTCTTTCAAGCCCAATAATTTGTCAGGTATAAGACACTTAATTATAGTTGTAGAATTTCTATTATATTAAAACAAAAACCTCATTAAACTATACTATGCCTACCTAGGTATAACTAAGTATTACAACTATGTTTTCTGGTAAATGCACACTGTACTGGTTATGAAATGCTGTTTCCTCTGCACCATGAAAATTGTGGCAGACATATCATTGTAGGGTTTATATTCACTGAAAGCAATGAAGTCATAAGAGCAATACAGTTTTATGTTATGAAGAATATCTGAAATCTTCAATAATAAAAAAAAGCCTAAGGCCAAATCTTTAAGAATACAAATTATTGTTTTTTTACTCAATGACTTATCATTACCTTAATCATTGGTACTGTTGTTGCTGTTTTTGTTTCCTGGCTTAAAATCTGTCTCAGAGTTAAGTGGCAGGTATGCTAATGTAATTTATTATACTATTATTATATTCATGGGGAAGCACTAAATCATTTGGGGTCATACAGTGCCTGGGTAATGGTAAGTAACTAGTTGATTCAAGAGAGGGGCTAGCTATAAGTACTGTAAATGGTTTGATCCAAAGGAGTAGCTCCAATTCCTTGGATCAAAAGCTCTTTCCTAGCATCCCCTTTTACCTCTAATATATCTGTGACCAGTTTCAAATTTTTTTCTACCCTCACAGACCAGCCTGGAACCAGGCTTTTCCATTCATTGTTTGTTCAACCATACTACTGATGTTAGTGGGTTGCTAGCCCACATATCAATCAGAGCCTGGTTGCTCTGGCTCTTGATGATAGTCACAATCCAGTCTCCTCTTGAAAACTTCAAAACTTGTTCTAGCAATGTTTCTGATATTTGATGTAGCAAGTTAACTCATTTTGGATTGTGAATGTTAACTCTGAAGGGCTAACGTAACTTCCACTTTTCGTTTTGCTAAAATTACTTCATTCAACTTTACCTTGCAGTGCCCAATTTGTTTCTGTGTTTAACCATATAAATTTCCAATAAAAGTTAATTCAATCAAATATTATAAGTGGCAGTTTCAGTTTAATATGGACAAATGGAATAAGAAAACCACAGTGCTTATAATCTAAATAATATAGATCTAATTCAAACAATGAAAAAAAAAAAAAAAAAAAAAAGGACAGGAGTTCGGGGTAGCTCAAGTCTCATCTCCATATTACAGAATAGAGTAAATATTTAGTTCAGGTGCTTTGTTTGACCTTATCAAGATAAAAAGCAAAATCTTTCCAACGTGGTTTGTGCAATGGACATGGTTATGTGTTGAGTCTAACCCACCAACCTAACATAACCAAACCTAGATTAAAAGCTAAATTCTAGGATATAGCAAATTGAGTTTATATCTTTTTTTTTTTTTTTTTAATTTTTACCCCATAGGCCTAAAATATACATTTCCATTGCACTATCTACTGAATATTAACTAATATACATACAGTAATAGAAAACAGAGGTTCCTAAACTTAATATTTGCCAAGAATGGACACAGATAACTGGAAAACATATAGTGAAGGATAAGTTAATCCCCTAAAGACCATTCTAATGATGACAGGCTGACAGCACTGAATTTACACTCTTTGGAAAGGCATAGCACTAGAGGGGGAATATGACTGATGTATTAATGGAAAACCTGAATAAATAAAGGCATATAAATAAAATGCTGAAAATGTCTTGCCAAGACAGAACTCACAACAATGAATTCAAATTGAATTAATTTATATTTAGAAAGGATATAGGAAAGCCCTGGTTTGGCAACAGAGTTGTGGATTAGTGGCACAAACTATCAACTTCAGCTACTGAGGTGAGAACTTACATCAGACAGGTACATGAGTGGAACAAGACTGCTCCACTATTCTTCTGATCAAATTACTTATGAATAACCCAGTCAACAGTACTGAAATAATACAAATATTTTAATTGGAGGCCATTCTAGAAATTTTACTTGCTCACTAAATTCATATGACTATAGTGGAAATGTTTCTTTCCTGTAAGTATTAAAAAATGTCAACCCCAGTGAAATTTACCTCTGAAACTTAAATAAAGTTCCACACATATTTATAAAAAAAAATTAATTCTGCATAAAGTGCACAGTTAGCTCTTACTTAGATATGTAAACATTAATTTATCATACAATGAACTAATATAAAGTCAACATGACAATCTCACTATTTAAGGACCCCAATGGAAATAAGTCACTTTTACCTTTTTTGCGTTTATTGTAGGTAAATTACACGTTATGCATGATAATTATACTTATGTAGACCTGTACCTAAATAACCTTCCTTACTTATTTACTGTATCACTTTTAAAGTTCTAATATTCTACTTTTCTAGCATCTAATCAAGTTCCAATGAAGATGTGAACAAAATCATAGTATCAAAAGGCAAAGTGCTCCACCATGACCTACTTGAGGAGTGAAATATCCACGAGAGATAAAGTCTACCTTAGACTCCAACCTTGAGATTGTAGGCCATAATATGCAAAGCAAACCCTGGTGGGCCGAGATCACAGTCACTGTTATATCTGATGGTGTACATTAAGGTTAGAGGTGAGTTAGAGTGTGTGGGAGGGCAGGGAGTGAGGGGAAAGAGGATGGTGGCACCACAGGGAAGGGGAATGTGCCAAGCACAGGGTCACAGTCCTCTGAGTTCGGTCATCACACAGCTGATCCTCAACACAAAAAGACTTCTTCTCACCCTTGTAACAGCGCTTTCATCACTTGAAAATGGTTCTCCAGTATCACTGCTGTGACCAGTAACGTTATAATGAACCCGCCTCACTCACTCGCCCGCTATGGTTCATTCCTATGGAAAAACAAAGAGCAAGAAATTACCAAACGCTTTTGTTTTGTCCTTTCTTCTCTCGATAACAAACAAATCTTCAGGTTCCAACATTATTTTATCCTCTCATGGTGGTCCACTGGCGCTTTGCTCAATATTACCCGTACTAACACTTATTTAAACAAAGCTTAACCAATGCATATTTTTAATGGTGGTTTTATTCAGCAGATTTATTGACAATGTCAAAACAGCAATATGTGACAACAATGGGTCCAAATCCTTGAATTTTTCACACGAGCAACTGCAGGTACAGAAAAGCTGATTATTATGCACACTTTATATGTATTTTTAAAGTTAATTTAATGTTCATTATTACAAGTAGTATTAGTTACGCGCACTTAAAAAATTTACAAAAAATTCAGCTGAGAGAAAGAGCCAAAAAAAATTATAAATTAAGTTTATAACACCATGTTAGGTAGTATTGAGTTGTGGTCAGTCTAAACAGTTCCTTAACTTTTCCTTTCTTACGAGTGCCTCTGATGCTTCCACCTTGTATCTGAGGACTGACAACATACATCGGTAAATATTTCGGTCATCCTTTCTTAGTTTCTTCCTTTGTAAATGCGCTGTGCTAGCTTAGTAATCATACTTAAGTATTATAATTAATGATGACGCTGAAAGTTACCGATCAACATATAAAATGTAATTTCCGAGAGTATTTCTTGTGTACAAATGACGGATGGCATGAATGTCTCCCGTTGCACATGGAATCGAAATTTTTTATTATTATTTCGTATAATATCAAGTAACCGTTTTATTGCCGTTTGTGAAGCATTTATTGAAATATTCTTGCTTCGTCATTGTCATTAGTATTATAAGTTTGATTTGAGCAACATTTGCACCAAGATGATGATATTGACGTTTTCAAGAATATTTAGGAAATCCTATTATTTTATGAAAACTAAGATATATATGGTTAATATAGAATGTATAGAAAAATATGGTTAAAGTGCTGGTGCCCTCAGCTCTCATCTTAAGGGCTCGAGTTCGATCCTGGGACGACCGGAAATGTGCATAATAGCACCGAGTTAGGTCTTTATTTTTTATATTGTACACAAAACTGACACCTCTTAACTTAACAAGACTAAGGTTCTAAATTGCTGTAAAATCATGCAGAGATTCATTGATTATATCCTATAAGGTGGTTGTGAATCTCATTTGCAGTTACAGTTGGGCTTAGGCTGATTGGTCTATAATTTGAAGCTAAGGACCTATCTTCCACTTTGTAAATGGATGTCACATTACTTTGTAAATGGGTGTCACATTTTCCATATTCCAGTTTTAGGGTACCATACTTTTTAGGTTAAAGTAACTTTAATATTTCATAATTTCTTTTTGTCTTTAACAATGTAATTATTTATGGATAAGATAAGATAAGATAAGATTTCGTTCGGATTTTTAACCCCGGAGGGTTAGCCACCCAGGATAACCCAAGAAAGTCAGTGCGTCATCGAGGACTGTCTAACTTATTTCCATTGGGGTCCTTAATCTTGTCCCCCAGGATGCGACCCACACCAGTCGACTAACACCCAGGTACCTATTTTCTGCTAGGTGAACAGGACAACAGGTGTAAGGAAATGTGTCGAAATGTTTCCACCCGCCGGGAATCGAACCCGAGACTGTTCAACTGCCTCCCAGCACACATAAGGGGGATTACCAACAAACCCCTGGCAGTCTTCAAGCTGGCACTGGACAAGCACCTAAAGTCAGTTCCTGATCAGCCGGGCTGTGGCTCGTACGTTGGTTTGCGTGCAGCCAGCAGCAACAGCCGGTTGATCAGGCGCTGATCCACCAGGAGGCCTGGTCACAGACCGGGCCGCGGGGGCGTTGACCCCCGAAACTCTCTCCAGGTAAACTCCAGGGCCCTCCGTGTGTGTGAAGCGGGAGCTTTAGCCACCAGGCCAGGATATATGTTTGTATCATGTAAAAACAAGAAATGTGTTAAAAGTTATACACATACGTCACTAACAGAAATCTGACCTAAGTTATTAAATAAGTGTGCTTCTGGAACTTCAAAAGTGGTGATTACTGAAGTAGCTGCCAGTTTATTTTAAGTCCTTTCTAAAACTGAATGCAGTTGAACCTCAGTTTTCATTTTTAATTCGTTCCAGAGAGTCTGACGAAAGCCAAATTCAACAAAAACTAAAGCAATATTTCCCATAAGAAATAATGTAAATCTAATTAATCCATTCCAGACACCCAAAAATATTAACAAAAAATACATTTTATAGAGAATAACTATAGTTTTGCATACAGAAAGCAATGGGAAATAAATATAAGGCACTAATTTTAATGTATAAATGAACATTTAAATCAGTTTTACCTTTATTGAAGACTTGTTGGCGTATGGAAGACGGCAAGGAGGTGGGGGAGGAGAGTTTATTGTTTGGAAAGGGAATCCCTTTCCATAAGGACTTCAGGTATCAAGTTCCTATCCAGGGTTACTTCCCTTCCATGTCTTTTAGTGGCACTAGGACCAGCTTGAGAGTCACTGTACCCTTGTCACACAAAAACATCTGTCCAGAGAGGTCTGTTTCTGGCGTCTCTTTAAGATTTACCTAAAATGAGACATGGCATTGTCATGGAACATGTTGCAGACACGGCTTGCAACTTCCTGTACATTCTGGCAAGATCAACCACACATACGCTACTTTCATGCTTTTCTACAGGTTCTTTCTTGAATTCTATCGTGTTTCTCACCTTTATCAAAGGGCTGGCACTCGGAACTTTCTTTGGCCCCATGGTGGCTTATTTAGCAGTAGCATTCAATAAACAAGCACTAAAAACAATTGATTATTACAAAATGTCTCATATGAACATGCAGGGTAATGTTCACTCTACAAGAAACAAAGCCAGACTGACTCAGAATGCACGCGTAGGATGTTTTGTGTGGACGTGCGGACACATTCGGTAAGGCGGACGAAAACGAAGGTGATTAACGAAACTGGGACTATTTTGACGAAAAAAGACGTCGAAAACAAATTTGACGAAAACCAGGGCAAACGAAAACCAAGGTTCCGCTGTATGCTCAATTTAAATTCATTACTGCAAGTTGTGTCGTGGATTTTTCTACATCTTATTTATATCCCCCTTTATTTCTGTTTTTAATTTCTTCACTCCAGTCATCATCCCCTTTTCCCAGGTATATATACTTTTCACCATGTAGATTTAGTTCCTTTTAGTCAATTTTTGTTGGTAAAAATTTTGATGCCGACATGTGAACTTGTGAAAAATGCTATATTTACTGGTATATAGTTTAATTTATAAAATTAATTCAGTACATCTATTACAGGTAAATCATGGCTCCCCGTAAAGGAAAGGTTCAGAAGGAGGAGGTACAGGTTCAACTTGGCCCACAAGTGCTTGATGGTGAGAAAGTATTTGCTGTATGTCACATTTATGCCAGCTACAATGATACATTTGTGCACGTGACTGATCTGTCTGGTCGTGAAACTATTGTCCGCATCACTGGAGGGCAGAAAGTGAAGGCAGATCGTGATGAGTCTTCTCCTTATGCTGCTATGTTGGCTGCTCAGGTAATTAGTTTAATTTTATTGCTCCTGGCTAAGTTATTTATACAGTGGAACCTCAGTACTCGAACTTAATCGATCCAGAAGGCTGTTTGAGTACTAAACAAATTTTTCCCTTGAGGAATAATGTATATTTGATTAATCTGTTTCAGACCCCCCAAAAATACACTTACAGCTACTTTGCAGTGTATTTTCGTATGGTATTTATGATTGTATTCTCGTTTTCTTGGTCTCATTTGATAAAATGAGAGATATATCACAGAAATATAGATGATTTGAAAGGTTTACAGACTAAAAGTACCTTGAAATTGAGCTCAGAGTAGCAGAAATGTTCGATTTTTGCTGATGTTCAAGAGTAAACAGATCACGTCACGCATCCAGTACACATCAACTGGTGGGTCTAATATGCTTTCACAAATGCGTTATTTTTTATACCATTTTTTCAATAATGCAGTAGTCTGCATAACAGTAAATCTTCTATTTTTTGTGTGAATAAAAATTCAAAATGGAAAGCAAGCTTAATATAAGAGGGGCACAAAGTGGGAGGAGCTATAGGAGAAGGGCGGGACCCAGCAGAAGGAGCATTCAGTATCTGATGAGTCGTCTTGATAGCTGGATGCTAGTGGTGGCACGAATACAATGTTGTGTAATTATGCTAATATTAGTAATTAAGGTCATCTATCACATTTATGCTAACTTGATATCAGAAACGTGATAGATAACCTAGAAGCACAATAAAGACGCCGAAATAAATACAGTAAAAGGCATGTTATATGGAGAAGCGGAGGGGGTGTTTACATCAGGGCAAACCAATTTTCTTGTTGGTTAACTGTTATCACTAATCTCCTTAGGCCCCCATGGTGACTTATTTATATAAATAATATAAAAAACAAAAATGCTAAGAAACGCAAAGTTCAACAGTTTTGGACTGAGCGACAGCTGCAGGGAGACTGGCGCACATTTTCTGGCAGGTTGTGTGTGCTTGTTCGAGTGCTGGGCAAACAGTCGACTACCGAGCTATTTTTTTTACCGAACAAAGTGTTAGAGTACCGAGGTTCCACTGTATAGGTTACATATATACTGTTAGCCGGCATGTATTATCCTGTCTCCTTTTTAAACTTCATGGCATATATTATGTAATCTTCAGTCGATACCTTTGTAACGCTTGGGAAATGTTCATGAAATTGTGCTTAATGAAAATTAACTTCAAGTAAATGTGGGAAAACTGGGGTCATGTTCAATACACCTCTAGATTTGCCAGATAAGTTTGATGTCATACTATATTCTACTAGGTAAAAATTACACAATTCATCTTGCATTTTGTTTGTCACACTGGAAGAGTGTGGGGAAGATTAATGTTGACCTACTAAGCCGAGTTGGATGCAGTGAGAATTATCAGCTTACATTGTATATTAAGGTACTACTTGTGAACTCCCTAGGAGGGATTAAGAAAAAGGAAAATTGAAAAATTATGGAAAAAAAGTTTTCTTACTGAAAAATAGTGCATAATTCTGGCAACATGTTGATGCAGTCATATTTCTAAGTATGTTTTTCCAAAAATGTAATTATTTTGTTATTGGTGTTATTAAGAGGACATAATTTTTTTTTTTTTTTTTTTTTTTTTTTTTTTTTTCCAAAAAAAAATTACTATTTTTATGATTGTTTCCGAATATTCTACAATGGCAACTTCTCTGAGGACTAAATTCAAGAGTGCAAAGTGACCTGTGGGCTGTCAACATGAATGGAGGTGTGCAACATGCTAAGGTTTGGCATGCCATGACCATAGACTTTTTCAGAAAACATAATACAGTGGACCCCCGCATAACGATATTAATCCATTCATGAGAGCTCATTGTTGTGCGAAATTATCGTTATGTGAATGAATTTTCCCCATAAGAAATAATGGAAATCAAATTAATCCGTGCAAGACACCCAAAAGTATGAAAAAAAAAAATTTACCACATAAAATATTAAATTTAATACACACAAACTTAAGAAAACATGCACAGTTACATGACACTTACCTTTATTGAAGATGTGGTGATGATTGATGGGATAGGAGGGGAGACTGGATGGTTTTAGTGTTTAGAAGGGGAATCCTCTTCCATTAGGACTTGAGGTGTCAAGTCCTGCTATCTGTTTTTCGTTTATCCACACCAATAACAGTCTCTCAACATCTTCTATCACTTGCGATCTGTTTCGAAAGCACAGTTAAACCTTTGGCAAGAACAGCTTCCTTGATTGCTGTTCTCTTGGACACAATAGAAGCGATGGTTGATTGGGGTTTACTATACAACCTGGCCAGCTTGGAGACACACACTCCACTTTCATACTTAGCAATGATCTCTTTCTTCATCTCCATAGTAATTCTCACCCTTATTCCTGTAGGGTTGGCACTAGAAGCTTTCTTGGGGCCCATGGTCACTTACTTTTCAGGTGAAATCACTATAAAAAGGCTGTAATAATACAAAATGTTCCGATTGTATGCTTGAATGTTACTGCGGAGGCTGGCTTGTAAACAATGCCACTGGCAGAACAATTGAGGCTGGCTCAGGCCGCATGGACGTCTCGGACAAATCGCGTTGAGCGAATTTTTTAGCACTATGCGAGGCAAAATTTTAGTGATAAAATGTTTCGCTATGCGGATTTAACACTATGCGATGCCAACGTTATGCGGGGGTCCACTGTACCTTTTGTGACATGCATAAAGACATTTTATTCATTCTAGAGTATATGTCATGTTCTGTGTTATTAATATTGTTTATTATGTCATATTAGATGAATTATGATAGGTAAACAAGCCGTGGAGTTGATATTAGTGTTATATTGAAGCATATTGTCTTGTCTCCAACAATAAACTCGCCTCCCTCTCCCCTACTCCCAGTCTGCCATACTCCAACAAGTCTTTAATGAAGGTAAGTGTGATGTTAAATGTTCATTTATACATTTTATTAGTGCTTTATATTTATTTGTCATTCTTTTCTGCATGTAAATCTATATTTAAGCTAAAAAAAAAAAAAACATTTTTTTTGTTAATGCTTTTGGGTGCCTGAAATAAATTAATTGGATTTACATTATTTCTTATGGGGAAAATGGTTTCCGTTTTCACCAATCACTCTGGAACGGATTAAATACGAAAACCGAGGGTCCATTGTAATTCGTTCCAGAAGGCTGGTAAAGTGCCAACACTGAACGGATTTGTTCCCATGAGGAATAATGTAAATTAGATTAGTCTGGTTCAGACCCCCAAAAATACACTTACAAAAGCACTTGCAAAAATACACTTACATAATTGTTTAAGTTGGGAGCTGTTCAAAACTCGAGGTACCACTGTACAGTGGAACCTCAGCTTATGAGTGCCCCACAATGCAAGTTTTTCAGGATACAAGTAGTCACTCGGTCGATTTTTTTGTTTCTGGGTACGAGCAAAAATTCAGGATGCGAGCTTCCCCCTCAAAGGAGGTTCCTTGACACTGGTAAGGGGCTCTTGATCTAGGGAATTTTATCTGTGCTCCAGTTCCCTAAATTAAGCCTGAAAACCTTCCATCCCCTCCCGTCCCACAGGCACTGTATAATCCTACGGGTTTAGCACTCCCCTATTATAATTTTTTTGTGTGTGTGCGTTACACGTTGGTCACCTCCCACTAAGGCAGGATGACGCAAAAAGAAAGAAAATCCCCAAACACAAAATACTTTCATCGTCATTAAACACTTTCACCTCATTCATACATAATCACTGTCTTTGCAGAGGCGCTCAGATATGACAGTTCAGAAGTCCCTCCAAACTGCCAATATCCCAAACCCCTCCTTTAAAGTTCAGGCATTGTACTTCCCATTACCAGGACTCGAGTCCAGCTAACTGGTTTCCCTGAATCCCTTCAAAATATTACCCTGCTCACACTCCAACAGCTCGTCAGATCCCAAAAACCATTCGTCTCCATTCACTCCTATCTAACACGCTCACACATGCTTGCTGGAAGTTCAAGCCCCTTGCTCACAAAACCTCCTTTACCCTCTCCCTCCAACCTTTTCAAGGACGACCCCTACCCCACCTTTCCCCTATTATAGATTTATATGCTCTCCAAGTCATTCTGCTTTGATCCATTCTCTCTAAATGATAACACCACCTCAACACCCCCCTCTTCAGCCCTCTGACTAATACTTTTAGTAACACCACACCTCCTAGTTTCCACACTCCGAATTCTTTGCATAATATTTACACTACACATTGCCCTTAGACAGGACATCTCCACTGCCTCCAGCTGCCTCCTCACTGCAGCATTTGCAACCCAAGCTTCACACCCATATAAGAGTGTTGGCACCACTATACTTTTGTACATTCCCTTCTTTGCCTTCATGAATAATGTTTTTTTGTCTCCACAGATTCCTCAATGCACCACTCGCCTTTTTTTCTTCATCAATTCTATGGTTAACCTCATCCTTCATAAATCCATCTGCTGATAAGTCGTTTCCCAAATACAGTGGAACCCCGAGTTTTGAACGCATTGACTATTGAAAGCTTTGAGTTTCGACCGCTTTTTTCACACCAATTTTGTCCCAAGTATCAAACGTTCCCTGTGTTTCAAACCACCAACCAGACCTGTCTGCCTGCCCCATGCCTGTGCCCCTCCCCACACAGGCATAATGAGTCGGTCTGGCTTTGTTTCTCAAGTAAGCATTGCATTATATACTAGGCATTTAAAGTGCCCTAGAGCGATAAAATGCATATACAGTACACTCATTATACTTACCTTAAAATATTTGTAGTTTTAATGGTCTTAATATAGGGTGCAAGGTGAATAGTAAGATAGGTAGGTATCAAAGTGTGGTAGGTATGTGACCCCCCCCTCTCCCCCCATGTTTGCAAGTTTTGTAAAGAAATCAGTTGTTGTTGATATCAGCCTGGACACGAATGGTTTTTGTTCACTTTGTCAAGCCGATTGGAAAAACATCTCATATTTATATTGTGTTTATACAGTGGACCCCCAGATTAAGACATCATCGGAATAAGTAACATCTTTGCGTCAAAATATTGGCTCGGTGAACGTCGCTGAACTCGGTATAAGTCATTTGTGTCTGGGCCTGAGCTGCCCAGTGTGCCATTGTTTACCAGCCAGTGACAACTATTCCACGCATTCATACAATACGTTTTATATTATTCCATTCTTTTTAGTGCTTGTAATTGCTAAATAAGCCACCATGGGCCCAAAGAGACCTAGTGCCAGCCATCCCTTTGGGAAAGGGCTGAGAGAGATGGGAGACTGTGCCTTTTTCAGTGATTCCGCAATATGTACAATATTAAAGCAGCAGGAGTCTGTAAAGGCTAGAGCGGCAGCCAGCGATAAAGCGTAGCATTAACTGTAGCAAGTAAGTTAAGCAATTAATCAATAGAAAAGGGACAGCACGAACCTAACTCCTCCAATGTTGTTGGAGTTATATAGGGCGACTGGCAACACCGCCATCTCTACTGCCTCTGCTGCCGCCTTCACCACCACTATACACGGCTTATGTCTCAGTGGCCCTTATAAACCCAACAACAACAACACAGCAACACTTGTGACATAATGATGTATTTTATTCATTCTAGAGTATATATCATCTTTCTTCGTTGTTAATATTGTTTATTATGTCATATTAAATGAATTGTGCTAGATAAATAAGCCCTAGAGCTGATGTTAGTGTCATATTGAAGGACTGTCTTGTCGTGTCTCCCAACACAATTCCTAGCATACGTCAGAAACAGACCTCTCTGGAAAACTTTTAAAAAACAAAGGAGGGAAGTAACCCAGGATAAGGACTTGGTATCTGAAGTCTTTATGGAGTGGGATTTCCCTTCCCAACAATTGTAAACTCTCCATCCTCTCTCCTCCTCCTATCTTCCATACATCACCATGTCTTCAGTAAAGGTATGTGTGATGTTGTTATTGTTTTATTCTTCATGCATCATTGTTTTCTGTGTAAGTAAATGTATATTTATTGTAGAAAACATTTTTTTAATGCTTTTGGGTGTCTGAAACACATTAATTGGATTTCCATTATTTCTTATGGGGAAAATTAATTCGGATTAAGTCAGATTCAGAATAAGACACTTTCTCTGGAATGGATTAATTATGTTATCCAGGGGTCCACTGTTATGTTACGTAGCATGTTTATTATATAATTTTGAAAAAATATCATAGGTGGATTAAGCAAAATGTCCATATTAATGTTTTATACGACAATTAATGTGCCTCAGAGTGATTATTATTATTTTTTTTTTTTTCAAGAAACCAGCTGTATCCTACTGAGGCAGGGTGGCCCAAAAAGAAAAACGAAAGCTTCTCTTTTTAAATTTAGTGATTTATACAGGAGAAGGCATTACTAGTCCCTAGCTCCCTGCATTTTAATCGCCTCTTACAACATGCATGGCTTGCGGAGGAAGAATTCTGTTCCACTTCCCCATGGAGATAGGAAATAAACAAGAACAAGAACTAGAAAGAAAATAGCAGAAAACCCAGAGGGGTGTGTGTGTGTATATATGCTTGTATATGTATGTGTAGTGTGACGTAAGTGTAAGTAGAAGTAGCAAGACGTGCCTGAAATCTTGCATGTTTGAGACAGAAAAAAGGACACCAGCAATCCTACCATCATGTAAAACAATTACAGGCTTTTGTTTTACACTCACTTGGCAGAACGGTAGTACCTCCCTGGGCAGTTGCTCTCTACCAACCTACTGCCTATTACAGTGGTCCCTCAGTAATCGTCCAGCCTGAAAGTCGTCCATTTCGGAAATAGTCCTGTTTTTTCGTCAAAATATTAGCTCGGAAATGGTTCGGTAACTCGCTAATAGTCCTTCGTCCCGGACGCGTACTCACGCTCTGGGCCGCCTCGGCCTTTCCTTCCCAGCCAGTGTGCCATTGTTTACCAGTGAGCGACGGTCCCCTCACACGCTCCAGCGAAATATTTCATAATATTCCATTTATTTTAGTGCTTGCAAGTTATTTAAGTGTTAAATAAGCTACCATGGCTCCAAAGAAAGCTCCTAGTGCCAAGCCTTTGGTAAAGAAGGTGAGAAATACGATTGAATTTAAGAAAAACATCATTGAACAATATGATAGTGGCATACGTGTGGGCGAACTGGCCAGGATGTATAACAAATCCCGTACAACCATATCTTCCATCATGGCCAAGAAAAAGGAAATCAAGGATGCTGTTGTTGCAAAGGGGGTAAATATGCTGACAAAAATGAGATCACCAGTACTCGAAGATGTTGAGAAGTTATTATTGGTGTGGATAAATGAGAAACAATTAGCAGGAGATAGTCTTATGGCGTCGCTTATTTGTGAAAAGGCTAGGCAATTGCATGATGATTTGGTAAAGAAATTGCCTGCAACTAGTGATGTGAGTGAATTTAAGGCCAGCAAAGGCTGGTTTGAGAGATATAAGAAGCGTACTGGCATACACTGTGGTAAGGCATGGTGAGGCTGCCAGTTCGGACCACAAGGCGGCTGAAAAATATGTGCATGAATTCAAGGAGTACATAAACAGTGAAGGACTGAAACCTGAACAAGTGTTCAATTGTGATGAAACAGGCCTCTCTTGGAAGAAAATGCCAAAGAGGACCTACATTACTCAGGAAGAAAAGGCGCTGCCAGGACACAAGCCTATGAAAGACAGGCTGATGCTAATGCTAGTGGGGATTTCAAAGTGAAGCCGTTACTAGTGTACCATTCTGAAAATCTCAGAGTGTTCAAGAAAAACAATGTTGTGAAGAGTAAATTGTGTGTGTTTTGGAAATCTAATAGTAATGCATGGGTCACGAGGGAAATTTTTGTAGAGTGGTTCAATGAAGTGTTTGGCCCTAGTGTGAGGAATTACCTCCTTGAAAAGAAATTGGATCTCAAGTGCCTCCTAGTAATGACCAATGCACCTGCTCATCCTCCAAACTTGGATGACCTCATTCTGAAGGAGTTTGGGTTCATCACAGTAAAGTTCTTGCCCCCGAATACCACTCCTCTCCTCCAGCCCATGGACCAGCAGGTCATTGCAAACTTTAAAAAACCCTACACCAAAGCAATGTTTGAAAGGTGCTTGAATGTGACCTCAGACACTCATTTGACCCTACGAGATTTTTGGAAAGAACATTTCAGTATTCTCCATTGCGTAAGCCTTATAGGTAAGGCTTGGGAGGGAGTGACTACCAGGACTTTGAACTCTGCTTGGAGAAAATTGTGGCCAGATTGCATCCACAAGAGGGATTTTGAAGGGTTTGAGGCGGCCCCTGATAAGCCTATGTCAGTTGTGAACTCTATTGTGGCACTGGGGAGTTCCATGGGGTTGGATGAGAGTTTGGAGGATGCGGAAGAGTTGGTGGAGGACCACAACAAAGAGCTAACCACTGAGGAGCTGCAAGAGCTTCAGCAGGAAGAGCAACAGATCGCAGCTCAGAATCTTGCTGCAGAGGAGGAGGAAGAGAAATGGAGGAAGGTGCCTTCTTCAGAAATTAAGGAGATTTTTGAAATGTGGGGCAGAATGGAAAGATTTATGGAGAAACATCACCCAGAGAAGGATGTTGCAAGACATATCGGCAACTTGTACAGTGACAGAGTCTTGGCCCATTTTAGGGAAGTTTTAAAGAGATGCCAGAAACAGCTCTCTGGACAGTTTTTTTGCAAGACAGGACTCCAGTGACTCTCAAGGTGGTCCTAGTGGCATTAAGAAACAGAGAAGAGAAGTAACCCCAGAAAAGCAATTGGTACCCGAGGTGTTGATGGAAGGGGATTCCCCCTCCAAACAGTACTTCATCCAATCAGTATCCTTCTCCAGTCTTCCATACACAAAGAAGAATCGCCAATAAAGGTAAGTGTTATTCTGTTAATGTTTAATTCACCATGTGCCACTGTATTGTTTATGTACTACATCTATATTTCATATAAAAAAAAATTTGTTTTAATACTTCTGGATGTCAGGAACGGATTAATTGAATTTACATTATTTCTTATGGGGAAAATTTATTCGTAAATCGTCCATTTCGATAATAGTCCCACTTCCAGGAACGGATTATGGACTATTATTGAGGGACCACTGTATTATTATTATTATTATTATTTTATTATTATTATTATTAATATGGCATCTTCATGACTAATAAGACACACTTAATGATTTTAATGTGTTCCTGCATGCCAGCACAGGTGCAAGTTGTGGAGTTTAAAGCCTATTTTCTGCAAGGTATGTAAATGGTGTACATACACCATTTCATTTCTACATTATGGTTTTCTTATGAAAAAGCAATCTAATGCAGTTAGCATTACAAACTCCGTTTTCTTGTACTAACACATCTGAAGGAGGAAAGAATGGGAAGATGTTTTCATAACTAGAGCAAGAATGTCCGCGACTGCATCCTCCCCTGCCACCACATACGTAATGACACATATTTTATTCATTTTAGAGTGTATATCAGGTTTTTATGTTATTTATATTGTTTATGTCATATTAGATGAATTGTGATAGATAAATAAGCCTTCGAGTTGATAATAGTGTCATATAGAAATACTATTTTGTCATGCCTCCTGACAGCAGGAATGAATTTATTGGATTTACATTATTTCTTATGGGAAATACTGCTTCCAGTTTCGAATGTTTCGACCTTTAGAACTAGCTCCTGGAATGGATTAAGCTCGAAACTCGGGGTACCACTGTATCTGAGAACATTCACTTCTTCTATACTCCCTCTCTCCAATGTGATATCCAATTTTTCTTTATCTAAATCATTTGATACCCTCATCACCTTACTCTTATCTGTGTTCACTTTCAACTTTCTACCATTACACACTGTACATACAGTATCTAATTTACTTTTGTTATCTAATCTTTGTTAAATTATTTTCATACATTGCTTTTCTTGCAGGATGTTGCAGAGAAATGTAAATCACTGGGTATCAATTGCTTGCACATCAAAATTCGAGCCACTGGTGGCAACAAGACTAAGACTCCAGGACCAGGTGGGCAGTCTGCATTGCGAGCTTTGGCTCGTGCTGGCATGAAGATTGGTCGCATTGAAGTAAGTATCAATTTGTTACAAAAATTATGTCAATTAAAAAAATTGGATATACAAAGATTTTGGGAAGTACAATGCCTGCACTTTAAAGGAGGGTTTTGGGATATTGGCAGTTTGGAAGGATATGTTGTGTACCTTGATACGTATATGCTTCTAAACTGTTGTATTCTGAGCACCTCTGCAAAAACAGTAATTATGTGTGAGTGAGGTGAAAGTGTTGAATGATGAAAGTATTTTCTTTTTGGGGAATTTTCTTTTTTGGGTCACCCTGCCTCGGTGGGAGACAGCCGACTTGTTGAAAAAAAAAAATTATGGTAAACACACACTCGCCTGTATTCTTGAGAATTTAGGTGTAACCTAAACTTTCGTTATGTGACATCAACACGAGAAAAATGAGGTTACATTCAGGCCAACTTGAAAACTACCCTTCCCAGTTAAATTTTTGTTTTACTGTGCTGGGTAAAAATTTCTACAGTAACTTACCTCCCTCCTAGTTGTTACTTATGGCATTTGATAAGCGGTGGAAAGTTAATGTAGGTCATGTTAGATGTAAGCAAGCAGCTACTTAATCAGCTAACCCATGTTATGAAGTCTGCTGCTTTTAAACCCTTAAACTATGTCCAGTGTACTAATACACAATTGACTAGTGTGCCAAATTTTTCGTACCTTCAGGTCTTGCCATCTGCCAATATTTTTGACCATCACATCTCTGTTTTCTACAATCTCTATGTACCTTTGGAAAAAATCTAAGGCCAGGAGGGTCCACACAGTGGATCATGGTTAACTACGCAGTGTACTAGTACGCCTAACTAGCATAAATAAACAGTGAAATCAGGAGCTGTTCCACTACCAACAAATGGTGTAGAAGTGGCACGAAAATGACTTTATTCCAAATTTATTACAATTTCATATTACCAGTACTATTCAGCCATAGAGTACGCTAAGTTTTAATCCAGGATTTTGTTATAAATGTTTTACAGTGGTCTGGAAGACACATTATGGACACAGTTTATATAACCTAGGATATACCCTCGAACCTAGGTATGTACCATAAATAATGTAGAAAATCCATTATAGTTGGTTTGACTTATTTCCATGTTTTGAGGGGTATTATGCCTTGAAACAACTGTAGTATTATAAATTCCTTGTAGTATATAGTGTTAGAAGATCAAAATATGAGCTTTTGCATACAGCATAATGGATGTGTTCCGGAAGAATCGACCACAGATGTTGTTGGTTGCGGTTTATCAGGGTTTTCAGTGCTGTTTCTGGCATCCTGTGTGTCATTTTCATTCATTAAACATTCAGAACCAAAGAACTCATCCTCAGTTCTGTAATCCTCATTGTTGGGGCTGTCACTGGGGAATAATAGCTGTTGAATTTGCCTGAGAGTGAATCCATTGCATCTTTGCAGCATGGTGACTAATGATATACTAAGACAATGTTCCCACAATGCACTGCTGTTATTCCATTTTTTGTATACATACTGTGCACATTGACTGCACAGACCCTCACTCATATCTAGGCCTACCAGGCTTTTTGCACCAAATTTGAGGCTGCTAGAATTTATGCATAGATCTGCATGAGCAACCATGGTGTCGTCATAGATCTACAGAAGAGACAGTGAAAGGGTTAAGAGATTGTGGTTTATAATTCTTTTGACTTCATAAACCAGTTTGAGTGATTAATTTGCATTATACAAGGAGAGGGAAATATCAGTGGATATTGTGACAGCTACAGTATTTAATATTTATTTTATTATTTTTTTATTAACACATCGGCCGATGTGTTAATATAATATACACGTATACGTATATCAGCCAAGTCCCACCAAAGCAGGGTGGCCCAAAAAAAAGAAAAACTTTCATCATCATTCATTCCATCACTATCTTGCCAGAGGGGTGCTTTGCACTACAGTTTATAAAACTGCAGCATTAACACCCCTCCTTCAGAGTGCAGACACTGTTCTTCCCATCTCCGAGACTCAAGTCTGGCCTGCCGGTTTCCCTGAATCCCTTCATAAATGTTACTTAGCTCACACTCCAACAGCACGTCAAGTATTAAAAACCATTTGTCTCCATTCATTCCTATCAAATACGCTCACGCTGCTTGCTGGAAGTCCAAGCCCCTCACACACACACAGCCTCCTTTACCCCCTCCCTCCAACCTTTCCTAGGCCGACCCCTACCCCGCCTTCAATCCACTACAGATTTATACACTCTCGAAGCCATTCTGTTTTCTTCTATTCTCTCTACATGTCTGTACCACCTCAACAACCTTTCCTCAGCACACCCATATAAGAGTGTTAGTAAAACTCCCCTCTTTGCTTCCAAGGACAGTTCTTTGTCTCCACAGACTAAGTGCACTGCTCACCCTTTTCCCCTCATCAATTCTATGATTCACCTCTAGAGAACAAATGGATTTGTCAGTTAAAAATAGGAGAGGAGAGTTATTAAATGGAGAGTTAGAGGTATTGGGAAAATGGAGGGAATATTTTGAGGAATTGTTAAATGTTGATGAAGATAGGGAAGCTGTGATTTCGTGTATAGGGCAAGGAGGAATAACATCTTGCAGGAGTGAGGAAGAGCCAGTTGTGAGTGTGGAGGAAGTTCGTGAGGCAGTAGGTAAAGTGAAAGGGGGTAAGGCAGCCGGGATTGATGGGATAAAGATAGAAATGTTAAAAGCAGGTGGGGATATAGTTTTGGAGTGGTTGGTGCTATTATTTAATAAATGTATGGAAGAGGGTAAGGTACCTAGGGATTGGCAGAGAGCATGCATAGTTCCTTTGTATAAAGGCAAAGGGGATAAAAGAGAGTGCAAAAATTATAGGGGGATAAGTCTGTTGAGTATACCTGGTAAAGTGTATGGTAGAGTTATTATTGAAAGAATTAAGAGTAAGACGGAGAATAGGATAGCAGATGAACAAGGAGGCTTTAGGAAAGGTAGGGGGTGTGTGGACCAGGTGTTTACAGTGAAACATATAAGTGAACGTATTTAGAAAGGCTAAAGAGGTCTTTGTGGCATTTATGGATTTGGAAAAGGCGTATGACAGGGTGGATAGGGGGGCAATGTGGCAGATGTTGCAGGTGTATGGTGTAGGAGGTAGGTTACTGAAAGCAGTGAAGAGTTTTTACGAGGATAGTGAGGCTCAAGTTAGAGTATGTAGGAAAGAGGGAAATTATTTCCCAGTAAAAGTAGGCCTTAGACAAGGATGTGTGATGTCACCGTGGTTGTTTAATATATTTATAGATGGGGTTGTAAGAGAAGTGAATGCGAGGGTCTTGGCAAGAGGCGTGGAGTTAAAAGATAAAGAATCACACACAAAGTGGGAGTTGTCACAGTTGCTCTTTGCTGATGACACTGTGCTCTTGGGAGATTCTGAAGAGAAGTTGCAGAGATTGGTGGATGAATTTGGTAGGGTGTGCAAAAGAAGAAAATTAAAGGTGAATACAGGAAAGAGTAAGGTTATGAGGATAACAAAAAGATTAGGTGATGAAAGATTGGATATCAGATTGGAGGGAGAGAGTACGGAGGAGGTGAATGTATTCAGATATTTGGGAGTGGACGTGTCAGCAGATGGGTCTATGAAAGATGAAGTGAATCATAGAATTGATGAGGGGAAAAGGGTGAGTGGTGCACTTAGGAGTCTGTGGAGACAAAGAACTTTGTCCTTGGAGGCAAAGAGGGGAATGTATGAGAGTATAGTTTTACCAACGCTCTTATATGGGTGTGAAGCATGGGTGATGAATGTTGCAGCGAGGAGAAGGCTGGAGGCAGTGGAGATGTCATGTCTGAGGGCAATGTGTGGTGTGAATATAATGCAGAGAATTCGTAGTTTGGAAGTTAGGAGGAGGTGCGGGATTACCAAAACTGTTGTCCAGAGGGCTGAGGAAGGGTTGTTGAGGTGGTTCGGACATGTAGAGAGAATGGAGCGAAACAGAATGACTTCAAGAGTGTATCAGTCTGTAGTGGAAGGAAGGCGGGGTAGGGGTCGGCCTAGGAAAGGTTGGAGGGAGGGGGTAAAGGAGGTTTTGTGTGCGAGGGGCTTGGACTTCCAGCAGGCATGCGTGAGTGTGTTTGATAGGAGTGAATGGAGACAAATGGTTTTTAATACTTGACGTGCTGTTGGAGTGTGAGCAAAGTAACATTTATGAAGGGGTTCAGGGAAACCGGCAGGCCGGACTTGAGTCCTGGAGATGGGAAGTACAGTGCCTGCACTCTGAAGGAGGGGTGTAAATGTTGCAGTTTAAAAACTGTAGTGTAAAGAACCCTTCTGGCAAGACAGTGATGGAGTGAATGATGGTGAAAGTTTTTCTTTTTCGGGCCACCCTGCCTTGGTGGGAATCGGCCAGTGTGATAATAATAAAAAAAAAACCTCTATCTTTCATAGACCCATCTGCTGACACGTCCACTCCCAAATATCTGAATATATTCACCTTCTCCATACTCTCTCCATCCAATCTTTCATCACCTAATCTTTTTGTTATCCTCATAACCTTACTCTTTCCTATATTCACTTTTAATTTTGTTTTTTACATACCCTACCAAATTCATCCACCAACCTTTGCAGCTTCTCTTCAGAATCTCCCAAGAGCACAGTGTCATCAGCAAAAAGCAACTGTGACAACTCCCACTTAACTCCACACCTCTTGCCAAGACCCTCACATTCACGTCTCTTACAACCCCATCTTTGAATATACAGTGGACCCCCGGTTAACGAACTTTTTTCATTCCAGTAGTATGTTCAGGTGCCAGTACTGACCGAATTTTTTCCCATAAGGAATATTGTGAAGTAGATTAGTCCATTTCAGACCCCCAAACATACACGTACAAACGCACTTACATAAATACACTTATATAATTGGTCGCATTTGGAGGTGATCGTTAAGCGGGGGTCCACTGTATTGACAACCAAGGTGACATCACACATCCTTGTCTAAGGCATACTTTTACTGGGAAGTAATCTCCCTCTTTCCCACATACTCTAACCTGATCCTCACTATCCTCATAAAAACTCTTCACTGTTTTCAATAGCCTATTTAATATGGTGTATTTACTCTAAAAGTTCGATAAATTTTCAATTTTTAATTATTTTTTCCCTTTGCAGGATGTTACTCCAGTTCCCTCTGACAGTACACGCAGGAAGGGAGGTCGCCGGGGTAGGCGTCTGTAGTTTGATTGCTGTAATAAATTTCATCATTTATAAGTTCTTATCTTCCCTATTACAAGTATTAGAAAGACCCAGCTACCTGTAAACAGATGGGTTTACAAATGTATGTCTAGTACATCATCACAGTGCAGTGGTACCTCGGGATACGAATTTTTTTCATTCCAGAAGGCTGTTCCGAGTGCTGATACCAAACGAATTTGTTCCCATAAAGAATAATGTAAATCAGATTAATCCATTTCGGACCCTCAAAAATACATTTACATAATTGTTCGAGTTGTGAGCTGTTTGTATCCTGAGGTACCACTGTATTTGCATTATATGTTGTACTGCAATAGCTATGTTAACTGAATAAGAATAACTTATTTTAGTAAAATATGTCATCCTGAGCTTAGTCATTTTCCCAGGTACTATAATGTCTCCTATGGGTTTAATGCTGTCCTATGAATGTAATAATAATGGTAGATTTTGTCAATTCAAAGGTCACCAATGACATGCAATTTGCCTTTGTCACTGTTTCTATTGAAAATACTAAACAGTTCTTTTTTTTTTTTTTCCTTGGATCAAACATGAATGCATTACATTCCTCAAATGTTCTGTGACCCCTACATGTTCAGCGCCTCTCTGTGAATAAATTTAAATGCGTTTACAAAGGATCTCTGGTTCGTGTTTTTCAAGTCTTGAAATTTCAAGCTACCATGTGTTACTTTTAATGCTGGTTCTCCATTCAGTGAAAAGAAGATGCCTTTGCTGGTGATGGACTCTTGGTCGAAGTTATTTGAGGGTTCAGTGCTCTTTCCTGAATGTCCATTGAATGTAGTTCCTTGATGAAGGGTTCTCAGTCATAGGAATTGTATTTAGATTCTGTTGCCTTGGATTGAACCTGGTTGCTTTCCATTTACCAGGTGCAATGTGACCACTGTGGGTTTAGTGCTTTCCTCTATATATAATAATGACAGGGAATTTGAGTGATTTCCAAATCAAACAATAAATCTCATTCCCTAGTTGCTGTGCTCCCCTCAACAGGTTAAGCATTTCCCCAGGAATATAATGGTTCTCAAAATCATTCCCTTTCAGTGAGGTTACTTGATGCTGGTGGGAGACTCTTGATGTAAGGAATTGAGCTGGTGCTTCCCTTTCTTGAATTGAACCAAAATGCCTCTTGTTCCCCCAGGTGCTTTATGACCCCTATGGGTTTAGCACTCTGTGAGTAATAAGTGTATGACCCCTATGGGTTTAGTGCTCCCTGTGAATAGTAAGTGTATGACCCTCTGGGTTTAGCACTCCCCCAAGAATGCAATAATCTCTAAATTGTTGCTCTCGCTCGATTTCGTTCAAACTGCCTCTTCACTGCAGGTTGTCTTCCCTTCCTATAGTATGTAGTGATATTGAGAATGCTGTTATGTTATGCAAGTGTCCTTTCAAACTCTTGGGCTACCAAAGCAGGGTTACATTTTTTCAGGTTACCTTCTAATGTAATAACTGGCTGACCTCTTGAAGAAGGCCTTACTTTATACTTTAAAAACTACATGCATTTCCTAACGTTTACAGATAACTATTGGGTTGATAATGCCATAGCCATCCACAACCATGATTCCTTAAGGGATTTCATGGTTACAGGCCAGTTTCTTTTAAGTTTTTACTGGAGTTAACGAGTATTTTCCCAGCAGTTATGTACATTTCTCATCACTATCATACACTATGACCATATCTGCCTTGTCATTCATTGTTTCCAACTCCCAAAGTGCATTACAAACTACTGAAAATTTTGACTCTCCTTGTCTCATCGTCCTTTGTACGTATACAACTTGGGCTGTTGCATTTTTAGATTTTTTTTTTTAAGTTCCTTGGACATGACAGTATTCAAGGCCATGAACAAGCAGACTCGGCAACTCAGTCAGCTATTCACGACTTCACTATTTCTTGCTGGGGTATTCTTTTCATGAACTAATTCTCAGTACTGTCAACAATTCCAAAACTGTTGGCAACAACACTGGTCCAGGTTACAATAAAACAAATTGCTTTTATCAAACCACAATTGCAATTCTGCCCATCTTCCCACAACTGTGATTTGGTGAACTTCACTCACAATTACGAATCGGACACACAAAACTTACATGTGGAAAAACGCCTGAGGCCATTGTATAAGAGCTGTTTTGTCACTTCAGCATATCTTAATTAATAGACTGCTCTTTTTATTGGCTAGCACACAGGATTCTCTTCCATCATCTACAGCACCCAAATATACACATCAATTGACACTGAGAGGCTATTTATGGAAATAAATCTTTTTATGCATATTTCAATTTTACATTTGCCCTTGCCCATCACTTCCACTGTCTCCTACCCCTTGCACCCCTTCCCATACCTCCGTATGATCCATACAGGTTCAGCACAAAATGAATATACAGTAATAATTTGTGGCTAACAAATTTAACACTTCCTTTGAATAAAATAAATACCCACAAATATAATATTTACATCCATAATGGTCCAGGATAGACTGAAACCTTTGAAAATATGTCTTACATTTTATGTCCTCTCAAGGGGTCTCTCGATAATAATGAAGGGCTTTCAGTCCAGGTAATTGGAGCTGCCCTTCCTTCAAGGGGATGCCTTGAAGCAGATGAGATTTTGATCCAAGGAATTTGAACTATGTTGAGCCAGATTATTTCTTACTTCCCAGGTGTTGCATGAAACTGGGTTTTATGCTTCCTTGTGAAAATATAGTTTAATGTGAGTTATTTCATCCAGTTTCAAGAGGGTACCTTGATATTAGTTGTGTTCTTGATTCGAGGAAATGGAACTACCAACCCTTTAGGATGAAACCTGATCACCATTTGTAGTGTACCCTATACAGATGAATAAATAATTTTAATACAGATGTGCTTAATGACCCTCACTGGTTTAGTGTTATCGTCCTAAAAATGGCCATAAAAGCCCTCAAGGGAGGTTCCTTGATGCTGGTGAGGGCTCTTGATTTAGATAATTGGATCTATGCTCCTGTAGCTCGATTGCTAGCGCATTCGGCTCTTACACAGGTCCGAGGGTCAGTCTCCAGTGCGACTGGAAAACATGGACAGCAGGTGTCCATGTTCACTTCTGTGAATTAAGCCTGAATACCTTCCATCACCTCCCCCACAGGCGCTGTATAATCCTATGGATTTAGCGCTTCCCCACGATTATAATCATGTCTATGTTCACCCAAAATTGGCCTAATTTGCCTGAAAAGCACTGCATAACAAGCAGTTTTCTATATAGTATGTCATTGATGTCAGCTAGGACTGTGTACCTTGTACATGTAGAAATAAAGATATTATATTCAATAAATTAAGCCTGAATACCTTCCATCTTTGTCCCCTTCCCACCCACAGGAGTTGTAAAATCCCTACAAGTTTAGCACTTCATGATAATGATGCTTGTAAAGAACTCTTGATGAGAGGACTTAGAGCTATCCTCCCATCCCATTCCATGATCATATGCTACCTTGTGTTCAGCCTGGAGGCTGACCATGGTGGTAAAGTTTGTACCTGGGAGAGGGCAAGGTAGAGTCCTCTTCTGGTGGACTCCTACAGGTGTAATCCCTTCGCGCTTTGCCCCTTTTCCCCCTCAAGGAAGGTTCCTTGATGTTGGTGAGGGGCTCTTGATTTAGGGAATTGGATCTGTGCTCCAGTTCCCCGAATTAAGCCTGAATGCCTTCCACATCCCCCCCAGGCGCTGTATAATCCTCCGGGTTTAGCGCTTCCCCCTTGATTATAATAATAATTTGCCCCTTGGCGTGGTGAAGAGGCTCTTGGGCTGAGGAATTAGACCTTTTGGTCTCCTTCAAACCGAGCCTAATTACCCCCCTTTCCCTATCCCATCCTCCCCATCACCTCTTTCCCTTTCTCCTCTCCCCATCCCTCCTCTATCCCCTTCCTGTTTTCAGCCAAAGCTTTGGGATTCTCCCCACAGGCATTCTTTGTTCCTAGATAGGGAAAAAGGTACTGTGGTCCAACCCATCCCGTTGAGGTCCTTGGTGGTGGTGCAGTTTACCGTAGAATCTGGATCACCTGGCAATGTCCCAATCTCCCTCCAGTCTCCCGGGGGGTGGCTTTGGGTGTCTTTCGGGTGACGGGTGTATCTCGCGGGGTGTTGGTAGGAGGAGCTATGCTTTGTGACATAACCGGCTGCCCTTTTTTGTCCACCAAAGTGGCTTGCTATCCCAGATTGCTGCTTTACTGGCATGAAGGGTAAGGTATGGCACGGGTTTCATTTTTTTTTTTTTTTTTTTTTTTTTTTTTTTTCTAAAGAGCTGTATAGTCCTTGTGGCTTAGCGCTTCTTTTTTTGATTATAATAATAATCTTTTTTCTAAAGAACAAAAAGAAAGAAGTGACATAACCATGGAGTCCGGAATCCATGACACAGCTCCTCCTGGGCCTCTTTCTGCTACCATACCTTATTCAGACCCTACCTCGTTCTTTGACCGATCTTCAGACCCTTCTAATGCATCTGTACCTTCTGGTGCCGTTTCGTCACCCGCTCCAGATACCGAGGTTCCACCTGACTCCTTTGATACATCTGACCTCTGCTTTTCTTCGACCATGCTTCCAGCTTCTCCCTCTACACCCCTCAAGGAAGGTTCCTTGATGTTGGTGAGGGGCTCTTGATTTAGAGAATTGGATCTGTGCTCCAGTTCCCCGAATTAAGCCTGAATGCCTTCCACATCCCCCCCCCCAGGCGCTGTATAATCCTCCGGGTTTAGCGCTTCCCCTTGATTATAATAATAATAATTCTCCCTCTACAGTGCTGTGATTTTCGGATTGCCCGCCCATCCCACGTCGGACCAACTCCGATCCCGCACCTAAACGCCCAAGACCATTAACTGATGATTCTCCTTCGCTTACTTCTCACTGCCCAGAAAAGACTGGCACGACACTCACTCCTCTTACATGCTGTTTCAAAATACACAATGGACTAAGTTTCTTTGGGACCGACTCCCCTCAAGGTTCCTTGATGTTGGTGAGGGGCTCTTGATTTAGGGAATTGGATCTGTGCTCCAGTTCCCCGAATTAAGCCTGAATGCCTTCCACATCCCCCCCCAGGTGCTGTATAACCCTCCGGGTTTAGCGCTTCCCCTTTGATTATAATAATAATAATTGGGACCGACTTCTATCTTTCTGATCATAGTATCAGCAAGGTGCTCCTACGCCACGTTGGTCAAGATATATCTTTTCATGCTCTCGAGAGCAGTGCACACATCATGGTACAGAATGCTAGCCAAGCTCATGATCTTTCTCTCCTTACAATCAAAGATGCTATTCCTGTAACAACTGAAGAACATCATTCTCTCAATTCTTGGAGTGGTACTGTCATTCTAGCTCATACCATTGTCCAACGTAATTTCCAGACATGTGGTGATGACATTCTGGAACAGCTTGAGTTCCAAGATCTCCCAGTCTTCAAAGTAGGCACTTATCTCCTACCTGCCCGCAGGCGGAGACACTACCCTTGCAATGTAGCTCACTTAACTTTTGACTGCCGTGACCTACCATCCTTGATTTATATTGCAGGACACTGTTTACAAGTTCGAAGGTGATCCCTCCACCACAACAGTGTAGAAATTGCCGGCGTGTTGGTCATCCAGCGAAATATTGCAAGTCCATGGCCGAATGCCCAGTCTGTGGTGCTGACGACCATACCAATACATCTTGTAGTCTACCTCCCTCTTGCCTTAATTGTAATGAAGCTCACCCATCTTACTCTCGTCATTGCCACCCCTCAGGAAGGTTCCTTGATGTTGGTGAGGGGCTCTTGATTTAGGGAATTGGATCTGTGCTCCATTTCCCCGAATTAAGCCTGAATGCCTTCCACATCCCTCCCCCCAGGCGCTGTATAATCCTACGGGTTTAGCGCTTCCTCCTTGATTATAATAATAATAATAATAATCGCCATTGCCAGGTTTACTTAAACGAGTGAGAAATCAGTTGTCTCAAAGAGACAGAAGGCTTTCCTTATGCCATGGCAGTTTCTCATCTACACCTCCAGGGGAGACTTCCCCATATTTCTTACTCTTGAGTTACTGAACGACACCCAACCTCTGGAGTCCCAACTTCCACAGCCTTCTCTGTGGTTCCCCCTTCCACAGTCACCCGTCTCTAATTCTTTTGCAGTCCTGGACTCCGAGGTCCCTACCCCGCCACCTCATTCTGCTCTCACCTCTTCATCTTCTCACTCACAAGTTTCTATGTCTACAAGACCTCGCACAACTCCCTATCACCCCTCTACTTCTCCGAAGTCCAAAAAATCACCATTGTTAAAAGCTCCTCAAACCCCTCCTTCACTTTTTCAACCCGCACATCTTTCCTTTCCAGTCTCTATACCAGGTTCTTCACCTCCTACTGGCTCTCTTGTGAGTGTGGAGGTTCATCCTCCTCCTCATACAGTACCTTACCCTCTTGTCCTCTCCCAAGTTTCTTCTTCTGTCCCCTCCCAGGTTGCTTCCTCTCCTGTCCCCTCTCAGGTTTCTCAAGTTACCTCTTAACCTTTTGTCATCCCCTACTTTGGCAAATTCTGTCGTCCCCCCGATCTTTACTCATCCTCCTCCTTCTATCTCAAGTATCGTCCCACACACAACGTCCTTGTCCTCTGAAACACTTGAAGCTATCTCCGAATATACTGAGACTAAACCATGGATGGACACCGATCCTCTTCATTCGTCTCTGTCTGCACAACTTCTTTCTTCGCAGCGTCCCAAACTTTCGCTGCTTGTTCGTTTTCTGCTGCCTCCACATGTGGACTTTTCTAACCCTTCTAGTCCACAGATACCTCTACCTTCAGATTTTTTGCATCCTTCCCTTCGCAAATTATGGTTTATTTATAGTGGAATATCTGAGGCCTCAGAGGTAACTGGGGTGAACTTCAGGTATTGCTCTCCCAGGTTTCCAGTTTGTGTCTGCTTACAAAAACCCAAATTACACTCTGCTGTTATCCATCCCATTTCAGGCTATGTTTTATATTCATCAGATCCTTTTCCCAATGGAACCTTTAATAAAAGTGCCCTTATATGCACCGGTATACCATACCATCAGCTCTTTGTTCATACTTCACTGCATTACACTGCAGCACGCATCTACTTGAATAAGTGGTATACAATTTGTTATTTGTATTTCTCTCCTTTTCGGGCATTATCTATCCCAGATATTCCATTTCTGGTTTCTTCTTTACTGCCACCCATTCAGTTCATCAGCGATTTTAATGCTCGCCATTTCCTCTGAGGGGGGGTCTCACTGTGACTTTCGCAGCATTCAATTAAGAGGCTTTTCTCGCTTCTCTCCCCTTCCATGTTTTAAATACGGGTACTCCTACCCATTTTGACCCTCATACTCACTCTCCCTCTTGCATCGATCTCTCAGTCTGCTCTTCATCAACTGCACTAGACTTTACCTGGTATGTCCTCCCGGACTTACACGACAACGATCATTTTCCAGTCCTCCCTACTTCTCATTCGTATTCACCACCTTCTCGAAGCCCACGCTGGCAATTTGACTGGGCGAATTGGGACCTTTACTTGCGTCAAACTTCTTTTAGTGGGAATCCTTTTTCATCCTCCATTGTTGAGCTGTTACACCTCTTCTCAACCTCAGTTTTAATCACAGCTGCACATTCTGTATCCCAAACCTCAGGCAGGCATTCTCAGAAGTGCATGCCTTGGTGGTCTCCTGCTTGTGCTCCCCTCAAGAGAGGTTCCTTCATGCTAGTGAGGGGCTCTTGATCTAGGGAATTGGATCTGTACTCCAGTTCCCTGAATTGAGCCTGAATACCTTCCATCCCCCCATGTGCTGTATAACCCTACGGGTTTAGCGCTCCCTCAATTATAATAATCCTGCTTGTGCTCGTGCA